TTAGAGGACATCAAGTCCCACTCTTCCTCCTTTCAACCTAAAAGCGACATCTTTTAAGATTCCTTCTGAAGAGAACTGAGCTTCTGAGTTCTGCTGGTGGCGCCCACATCATACCACGTACACCCACTTAACTCCACCTGTCACCTTCTCATCACTTTCTCCTTCATAATGCCTCATTTGAGTTTTATTCTCCAACACATCCAATGCTCTCCCTTTAGAGTTCTCATTTTTCTGTATTTCACTATGCAATTGGCGCAACTTGTCCAGTTCTTCAACATTTTCCTCATCACTGGTTCAATGGAACTGAGCTCTATTGGATCAGTTCACTATGCTGCTCTGCTGTGTGATGGTGGTTCCAAGTCTAGATCCCAGAACCAGAATCTGGCATACCTGGATACAAATCCAGGCTCCACTCCTTACTTGCTATGTGCCATGGAAAGGTACTTCTTATTTTGTTGTTGTTGTTACTTCTTTTTTTGTTGTTATTACTTAACTTCATTAGGTCTTTTTCTCAATTCTATTTAAACGGACACAATGACTAGTATATCACTCGTAATAAGTACTCAGCATAATAGGCACAAAATAATCACTGAATAAATATTAAAACAATCATCTCTGTGTCCTAGTTCTTGGCTCCTAACATTCTATTCCCATTTTACATTGAAGAATTCCCTGTATCAAAGTGCTTTGTTCCAAGAATAAATCTTTCACCCTCTTTAATAATAAATAAATCACTACTAGTATTTCTTTAATAATAAAGAAAATCACTACTAGTATAAATTACCAATGTTTAAGAAATAACCCACAGAAAACTAGCTCCATCTTAGTACTCTTTTTTCAAGCACTCATTTCCCTTGGCCATCAGTATTCCCCTCGCAGAATTTTCTTCTCTAGGTAGCTCTTCTTAGATGTCACTGGAAGCTTATGTTCCTATATCTATACTCTACAAATTAGTGTTCTAAAATAAAAGCCTATGGTTTTCTTCATTTCTCACATTATCATCTCTCTCTTGGCAATCTCACATTTCATCATGGCAACAACAATAACCTATAAATAAATTCTACATTATGATTTCTACATTATCTCTAGCCCAGGCCTCTCCTTTGAGTTTTAGATTCCCATATCTAATTGCCCACTCACATTACCATGAATGGATGTAAAGTGTTTAAATTCAGTAGATCCAAATCTGGGCTCATGATTTTCCTCACAATCCTACTTTATTGACATTCATCCAAGGTACACAAGGTAGAAATTTGTAAGTCTAAAAGTTATCCTTAGTAATTTTCCTGTTCTTCCCAAGTTCACTCAAGCCTATAGATTTTTACCTCAGATCTACCCACTCTGTCTCTACCAACCAGCTGTATCTGCCTTTATGTGAATGAAGGGATGCTTTTCATTTTAGTACCCTCAGCTTCAGTGAGCAAACCAGTCTCTCACCTTTATCACTCCTGATGTTTCAAAAAAATTAAAACAGCATGGATCCTGCCCTTACATTCCTCTCAAAGGCCAGGATCCAGCTGTATTCACATCTGTCTTCTGTTTCCATAAACATGTCTCATCATTTTGCCAAGTGCTGGTGGCTCAAGTCTATAACTGCTACTCAGAAGAGGCTGAGCTCTGAGGATCATTGTTCGAAACCAGCCTATGTAGGAAAGTCTAGGAGACTCTTATTTCCAATTAACCAATAGCTGGAAGTGGAGCTGTAGCTCAGGCGATAAGAACACTAATCTTGAGCAACAAAGCTCAAGAACAGCATCCAGATCTTGAGTTCAAGGCCTAGGACTAGCTAGCTGGCTGGCTGGCTGGCTGACTCACACACTCAGTCACACAAATATCTCATTGAAAGTGGAGATGTGACTCAAGTGGCAGAGTGTCAGCCTTGACCAAAAAAGGCAAGTAAGAGTATGGGATCTAAGTTCAAGCTATGGCACTGCCACACACACACGCACACACACACATAAACAAAAGATGTCATAAACAAAAGATGTTCAAGCCATGTGCAACAAAAGAAGAATCCTGATAACAACTGATCTGTTACACTAGTGTCAAAAAAGAAAATGATTCTCAAACATGTTAACTCTGTTTTCCCTCAAGAATAATGCTATTTGGATACAACGGATAGGAAGAACTGATGCCCAGCCAAGTGAGGCGACAGTAATACAGCATCTGGCTGCTTCAAACACCACAGCTGCTCATGCATGGGATCCCTGACTCACTGCAAGTGCAGCAAGCAGACTCAGAGCCTGGTGGAACCCTGGAAAAGAGAGAATGAATATAGGTCTGACTGCTGAACAACTAGAAAGAAACAGTCCAGCACACTTGACGTCACCCCTTTTCTAAATTCAGATACTTTAAAATCAACCCCTAACCACTTAGAAAATAGTTAAGGACTTAGAAAACAGTAAGTACTTGTGGAACCAACCTGAGTTACATTATATAATCTATTATCTTTTTAAGAATAGATTTGTATAGTTAGATCATGAATTTAAAAAAAGCAGTGAAAGTCCTATGTTGGTAGAACAGCAACAAATTTTTTCCAGGTTTTCATTATACTCACAAGGACATGAAAAATATACATGAATAATTATACATTTGGGCAACTAGTTAACAGCGTGGACAACTTTAACAAGAACTGATTATTCAATTGTCATCAGCTTCAAGGGCAGATCTACTAGCAGGCTTCAGGAATCTCTATGTGGTCTTCTCGTATTCAACTACTTTATCAATAACTTGAACAAAGATGTAGTACTACTGGCATCTAACATGTGAATAATAAGAATTTTTGGAAATAACATATCTAAAACATATTTATGAGTGTAAGTGCATGCATGCATGCACACATGCGCGCGCACACACACACATACACACACCACACACATACACACACCACACACATACACACACCACACACATACACACACCACACACATACACATACACACACACACAAAATATCTTTGCCAGAATTTTAAAACACCGTAAGTCAGAAAAACAGGCTAAATCTCCTAAAATGAAATTTAGGAAAAATACCCAGGGGATCAGTATCTGTGTCCAAAAATACTTCTATCACATTGAGATGGCAAGATGGTATTTAACTGCTGCAAATGTTAAAAAAAAAAAAAACTGATGGCTTAATTAACTGCAAGCTCATAGCAATAAGATGTAGATACCAGAAAAGGCAATGGGACCCTAGCAAATTCAACAGCATCTCAAAGGTGGGAGACAGCAGTTTCACTTCACTAGTGGAATAACATCGACCTTTGTAGCACAGTCTTCACAAAATCCTACCACTGGCATGTTTAGAAAAAGAACCAGGATGCTTAGGAGCCTGGATACTATTCTATACAAGGAAGGGCACTGGGAATGGAACTTAAAAATAGTTCTAAACAATGGCTTCAGAAAAAAATGCTGGCAATCTTTGTGCAGTCAATCAATGAATATGAAGTCTAAACATGTTTCAAGAAACACCTGGAAGACTTATTTCATTCTGGAAATGTCCACAGATAGACAAGATAGTCCATAATGGCAAGAAATGCCTATGTGTATTCAGATATGCATATCTGAAGGGTAGAAACAGTCACGGGCTGAAAAAGAATTGTTCTATGTGATGTCATTAGGTACAAATAGTACCAGCAGAAAGAAGGTGGAAAGCAACTGAATCAGCTCTTTTTAAGAAAGGCTGTGGAAGTTAGAAGCAATTTGATTAGACAGCAAAGTTCCCATTAGTAACAGTGTTCTCATAAGGGACACTGCTTAAAGAAGACAAGTATTCACCTGCACCACACTAAACCTTCCTCTCGTTCCATACTATAATCTATGTTTGTCCAAGAAACAGGCCTTAAAGACATATCCTACTGTGCTCTTCAGCACCCCAAGTTTCCAGTTACTACTTTCATTTCTTTACCCTGTTCCCAGCTTTCTAAATGGGACCAGGCCTGAACACAGGAAGAATGAGAAGTAGGAAGAAAAGAACACATCAGTGAATGAAACATAAAAACATCAGTGCCTATTCCACATACCATGAATTTATAAAGAAAACACAAGGATCTACTACCCTTGAATTCATAAATGCAACTAAAATATTCGATTGTGCTCAGTTTGTAAGAATCTCTGTATGTGAGCCATTTTCTTCTCACAAGGAAAAAGTAATTTAACTTAAAACCACTTGGAAGATTTGTCTCCAAACTCTCTACTCTACTGTAAGACTATGTGGAAACTAACTTTAGATTATATTCCTGAAAAGCGAAATGATTCATCAGAATAGGCCAAATGCCATGAACTAATCTAATTGTGGAATCCTGATTAAATGGCTGCTTTAAGTGTAATCTATTTAAAAATCACAGGATAAATAGGGCCTAGACCATTTAGTTCTGGGGTTTTCTACATTAGATCACGGCCCGTTAAGCTCACTCTCACTTTATTTTGTTATTCTTGCAGATGCACACAATGGCTCTAAAGGCTGCACCTGGGTACTGAGGGAGTCCAACCTCCAAAACGGCTGCTCCTTTTATAACTTCTGGGAGCAAACCTCTCACGCTTGAGCGCTTTGCTCAACTCAAACACAATAACTGGACCCCGATTCCATTTCCCAGGGCTTTTTCTTTCCTATAAACGCAGAGAGAAGTTCATGAGGCGACGGCACCGAGCCTCCAGACCCGGGGCGAGGCTTCCCCTCCCGAGCGAGACCAGAGCTGGCCCCAGCATTTCTCAGCCCACCGCCCGATGATGATATTTCGGGGCCCAAAGACAAGAAAAAGGAAGGGAGACTCGGGTTTTCCCGGCACGGGGAGCTCCCCTTTCGTGGCTGCCAGGTCCGTCCCCTTCCCGCCCCCCACCCCCCCCGTCCCCCGGGATTTCCTCGCGTTGCCGAGGCAGCGCCGGCGCCAGGCGTCGCGCGCTCGGGCAGCTCCGGTGGACGGAGCCCGGCGCGACCCCGGCCTGCGGCGCCGCAGCCCCGGCCGCCCCGGGAGCGCGGCGGGCCGCACGGAGGCGGGACTTACAGTGACACCATCCTAGGTGACAGCACCAGTGCAGCTTGAAGCACTTGCCGTGGCTGTGCGTGGCGCAGATGGACAGCCCGTCGCACGGCTGGAAGTCGGGTCGGCGGGCGGCGCAGCTCCGCGCCAGGGCCTGCGCCTCATCCACTTTCTCGCTCTTCCAGCCGCGCTCGGGCGCCGGCGCCGTGGCCGCACTCATCTCCTCGGCGTCCGCGCGGAGCCGAGGCCGGGAGCCCGGGAGGAGCGGCGCCTGGGGCGGGCAGCGCGCGAGCCGGCGGCACACGCGGGGCGCAGCGCGGGCGGACGGTGGACGCCGCGCGGCGGAGGCGCAGGCGGCGGGAGCTCAGCGGTCCCAGACTAGCGGAGGAGCCGCCCCGCGCGGGCGCAGCGACGGGGCGGGGCTACGGCCTCCCTCGCGCCCCGCCCCCGGCCGCCGGCGCGTCCCGCGCGCACCCGCACGCGCGTACGCGCGCCGCCGCGTGCGCAAGGCCTCCTCCCAGCCAGTCCGCGAGCGCAGTGGTTGGCGGCGGCAGCAGCACCGCCGCTCTCCAAGGTGAGCTCCTGCGGCGCGCGCGCTCCGAGGTGCCCAGACCTCCCTGGAGACTGTTAGGACCCGCACGCCCGGGCCGCGCAGCGCGGACACGCGCGCAGCTCACACGCACACTTCCCTCCCAGGGAGACGCCTGGGGAACTGGCTCGCGCGGGCACGCGCTCCTCGAGAGCTGTGTCCTCCGCGTGCCCGGTCCCCGAGCCTGGAGCCTTTCCGTGGGCTGCTTCGTGCTTCTTTCACAGGGTTTTCTCACACGTACACACCGCCTGTCCGTCCGCGCTCACAACTCACTTTTTCGGTCGTACGCCTCCCGGGGTTGCGGGGGGGGGGGGGGGGGAGAAGGGGGGACCGCGGGCGCGAGTCCCTGGGGGAGCGCACCTATGGGGAGAGCCGGCTGCCTCTGGCTCCCAGGGGACCGACAGCAGCGGGGTGTGGAGTGTGTCTGCCTGCCTGATTTAACTAGACTATGTGTGGTGTGTTGTTGGGTGTGTTAGACACTTGCCATGATTCGTGGGGGGACGGGTGGATAATGAAGTGTATACGTGTACATATGATGTGTGTGTATGTGAGTAATGGAGTGTGCGTACTGTGCATATGGTTGAGTGTATGTGATGTGTGTGTGTGGTTGGGTACATGTGTGGAATGAGTGTACTAGCATCTGCATGGGTATGATTATTACACAGTGTGTACTTGGGGTGGGTGTGACTGGCATCGTGAACATGTGTGTGTGGTACCTAAGGATGGTGGTGAAACGTGTGGGCACACAGATAGGTCTCATGTCTGTCTGCTTTTCAGTGTTCATGCCCACCCTGGCTAGCCAGTGTGACTGGCCTGGATGACTGCCACTTCCCCATAGAGTTGGCTAGTATTCTTCCCTCCTGGCGACAAGTTGCTCCAAATAGATTTTTCCATGCTAGGCTCTGCTACAGAGAAAGGACCCTAGGCTGGATTCAGTGAAGAGAAAACAAAGCATTTGCTCCCAGGGAGCCTTGCTGGGAATTGGTGTTTCCCTGCAACAGTGCCAGATTCCAGCCTGGAACACAGAAAAGGAGGGGACAGCCTCTTCTTATTTGCCAAACACTTTTCAGGGCATAGAAAAATGCCTGTAATTACCGAGGTTCAGGGAACAACAAAACCTTTCAACACAGATGCTGTACTGGAACGTGTTTATGCCCAGGGCCCCTTCCTCCTTCATTTAATTCCTACCCTGTTTTGCCCTAATGGGCAACTCACCCTAAATTTGAAAGAACAGTATTCATCCTCAAGCCTTGAAAATCCGTGCTGCTCTAAGCAATCTTTCATAATTTCCCCTTTTATTTAACCTTGGCTTGAGAAGGGAAATGTGATTTGCATATGTCTGACTGTAGCAAAATCTTCATTTATTAGGGGCTGGAGAGAGACTCAATTTGGCAGCAAAAATTATTTTCAAGAAATAGCAGGATCTAACTGGTTCCTCATTAACCTCACATTAAAACAGTTGTAAATATGAGGCAGTGTCTCTTCCCACTAAATCCAAAAGAAGTACCTCCCTGATTCATAAATTCCACGCATCCTTGCTGCTCAACTCATATTCTAACCTATCTTAGAATAACCTGAGCAAAAGGAAGAGAAAACCAAACAATACATGCTACCTCATGATTGCATCAATCCAACAAAAAAATATTTTTAACAAATTGGATTTCCAATAGTTCTACCCTATTTTTCTCCAATTTTACACTCCCTCGTATATCAAACAAGGCCTTAATAAGAGAATCCCTTCAGGAATGCTTCCATAGTATTCTTCCCCTGGCTTTTACTCTAGGGTGAACCAAGTTATAAGATTTCACTGAAGATGAAATTGACCATCTCAAGGAGTGAAAAATGAGCATGAAAAAGAATGCAATTCATCATGTTAGCCAAGAGGCAAGGTAATTTACCCAGATAGCGGTTTTAGGTTAACCACATGGTTGGAAGCTGAGAAGTCCATACATTTTTGCATCCCATCTCCTAGCCCTAAAGATGCACATACATACAACTCTCAGGATGGGTTGTCAGGATACAATTGTTAAGGTTTTGTTATAAAAAATCCACTTTTACCAAAGTAGAGAGAATAGTAGAATGAAACCCTAAACCTATCACCTGGTTTTAATATGTACTAATGCATTTAGAAAATCTTGTTTCACAATGGGGTTGTATGCAAGTGTACCCAAATATATTAACCGAAATATGGTATTTACAGGGAGAATTCAAATGGTATAATTCATCAGAAAAACTCATAGTCCAGCAAAATGAATACCAGAAAGCTGGAACTTGAAAGGAGAAGCAGGGGTCAAAGGGGAAGGGGTAGATGAATAAAGAGAGAAAGGTGTGGGAGAATGCAGTCATAAACTTGAATGAATATCCTATGAAATTAAGAAAATTGAGGGGAGGCATTGGGTTAGGAGAGATGCGGAGAATGATAAAAGGGGAGACATCGAATAAGATGCATTGTTAAATGGTAACTCCTTTGTACAACTACTTAAATAAAAACATAATTAAGAAAATCTTGCTTGTCAGTAGTTTCACCCATTTCCCCCCACACACACATACACTGGAATATTACTATTTGTGTGTGTGTGCACGTGTGCGTGCGTGCACGCATGCATACATGTGCTGGGTCTGGGGGCTGGAATTCAGGACCTAATGCTCTCCCTTAGCTTTTTTGCTCAAGGTTGGCACTATACCACTGGAGCCATACCTCCACTTCCAGTCTTTTGCTGGTTAATTGGAGATAAGAGTCTGCCCAGACTGGCCTCAAACCTTGATCTCAGCTTCCTGGATAGCTAGGATTATAGGTGTGAGCCACCAATTTCCAGCATAGCACTGGAATATTTTAAAGCAAATTCCAGACATCAATAGTCTCATCCATAAATCTATTAGTGTTGTAAGGTGAATCCAGTCAGCAAGATACAAAGAAGCCACCTTTTGAGAGGTCATATTGGGAGTCTTTATTAAAAGGTTGGTGTCTGCAAGTAGACTAATGTCACAAAGACCTGCAGCCTGGCGAATAGACTTAACACTGGTAGAAAAATGGAGTCATGAGATCAGAAGAGGAAAGAAAAAGCAGAAAAACAATGCCAACAACCCAGATCATCCCTAATGGAAAGCTGAAGTGAGATGACCAGAGCAAAGCCATGAGACAGGACACAGCACACAAGGCTTGCCTGCCTCGATGATCTGACCTGGTCTGACCCTAAAATAGGGTCAAGGCGGGCGGCAGGGTCCCAGGAAACTGGAGTCCTCCCAGTTTAAGGCAGAGGACTGGCAGGGCCGGTACCCTATCATCCAAGTCCCCATCCCTGCCTCTGAGAATTCAGGCACTCCTATCATCTGGGATGGGACTTCTTTGGAGCTAAACAACAGGATACATTTAGATATCCTCTCTAGGTCTAATCAACATGGTATATCCGCAATTCAAGGATGACTTGCCTCACTTCTAGGCCTTTAAACCAGGTGATGAGCCATCACCTGGTTAGGCACCAGGATGGCTATGAAAGCAAGGTGACTTACTTAGACCTAGTCTTTCCCTTACTTCATTAGTATACATAACTAAAGAAATTTTGCATAATTACATAATAGGATATAATTTGGTTATGAAATGAATTTGTCCAATAGCTGCTGGCTGCCTCTCTCTCTAGCTCCCCTTTAAGAATTCCGCTCCCAGCTAGGCTCCAGCGGCTTACAACTGTAATCCAGCTAGTCGGGAGGCTGAGATCTGAAGATAAAGGTTGGAAGCCAGCCCAGGAAAGATAGTCTGTGAGACTCTTATCTTTAATTAACTACCAAAAAGCTGGAAGTGGACATGTGGCTCAAATAGCAGAGCACTTTCCTTGAGCAAAAATCTCAGGGACATGCCCAGGCCTTGAGTTCAGGCTCCAAGACCCACACAAAAAAATTCCCTTCCTTGTCTATCTACCTAGCCTACCTCTTCAGCTGCAGAGCACATCCCCAAAGAAGCTTTTTCAGAGGAACCCAAACTATGTTTTATATACACTATCCCTCCATACCAGCTATCTCAACTTTAAGGAAACAAGAAGGGAAAAAATGTGATATTACCTGACTTATGTAACTGAAACTGCTCTGTATATCACCTGTATAATAACAATAAAATTTTTTTTAAAAAATAAGGCTGGATGCCAGTGGCTCATACCTAGTTACTCAAGAGGCTGAGATCTGAGGATTGCAATTCAAAGCCAGCCCAGGCAGGAAAGTCTGTGAGACTGTTATCTCCAATAAACCACCAGAAAACTAGAAGTGGTGCTGTGGCTCAAGTGGTAGAGCGCTAGTCTTGAGTTGAATAGCTGTGGGACAGTGCTCAGGCCCAGAATTCAAACCCCATGACCAGCAAAAAAGGAAGAAAAGGAAGGAAGGAAGGAAGGAAAAGAATCAGTAAGGTCTTTCCATACACACGCACACTAAAACCTATCACACACAAGATCTCCTTGAAGTCATGAACATGGCCTCTGTCCTATTCATCATTTTGTCCCTAGTATATAACTAGAGTATAAATGTTGAAGTAGTAAAAATAATTTCTTCTCAGATACCAGAAGACTGGAAAAAGTGAAGTTATGGTAAGTTGTTTCCAAACATGTGAGTAGTTCATACAATTACTATGATCAAACTATAGTTACTATTATCAAAGTCCTCTCCTACACTGTCTCTTGAGTTTAGCAATGTGGA